GCAGCTCTATGTGGAGCCTTTTGAGGAACCTCCATACTGCTTTCCAAAGTGGTTGAACAAGTTTACACTCCCACCAACGATGCAGCAGGGTTCCCTTTTGGCCACATCCCCTCCAGCATCTGTTATTAGATTTGTTAATTATAGCCATTCTAACTGGGGTGAGGTGGAATTCAATGTTGTTTTGATTTGCATTTTTTATGGCCAGAGAAGTTGGGCATTTCTTCATGTGTCTACTGACCATTCTTATTTCCTCTTCAGAGAAGTCTCTCTTTAAGTCTTTAGCCAACTTGTTGAAGAATGACACCACCCCATTTGTTAAGAAATGGAAAAAAATCATATTAAGTGAAGTAACCCAGTCCCAAAGAAATCTAGATCTCATGGTTTCCCTTATTTGCAATAATCTTATCAGATGAGCTTCAAAGCCAGGTATATATGACCATATAAGATGATGTGAAATGAAATAAACCCCAAGATATGGACACAAGAGGTCTTTATTGTTATTGTTTTAATGTACCATGTGATTTTATTTTGTTTCCCTAAGGCATATCCTCTGCTGTCACTGTACTTGATTTTGATACCCTGCATCTTGTATATGCATATGTCTAATCTGGGGAGTGGAAGGGGAATAACAAAATGCTGGAACAAGGACACAGGATGACCCATTGCAACGAAGATACCTATTGGACAGTGTATTGGAAATGAACTTTACAACTTTGGGCAGTGAGGAGGGGAGGGGAGATAGGAGTGTGGGAGGTGGGAGAGGAAAGGGATAGTAGGACAACAAGGAAGAGAAGGGGTAACAATGATAGACAAGTAATGCACTTACTGCCTTACTCCTAACTGTAACCCCTCTGTACAGCATCTTTACAATAAAATTTTTTAAAAAAGAAAAAAAGTGATATACAGACAGGTTGAGTTACATTTCTTTTTGGACAATGTCACCTCTTTTCTTGCTCTCTCCCCATTTTTCCCTCCTGTTCCCACCCACAAGTTGTATAGTTCATTTTCAACATAGTGTCTAATGAGTACCACTGCTGTATTTGTTCACCTTTTGTCCCTCCATTTCTGTGCCCTCTCTGGCCCTCCCAAAGGCAGATAAACAAACAAACAAGACAGAAAAGAAAAAAAAACATCAACAAGGGGGAAAAAACACACAAATAAGCCTCATTTCCATTTCCCGGAGTTCATATTGGTAAGTACTGTTTTTATATGATTAGAGGCACACAGGCATTGCACCTTTGTAGGGGAACTTTTTATTTTTTGCCAGTCCTGGAGCTTGAATGCAGGGCCTAAGCACTGTCTCTGAGCTTCTTCTTGCTCAAGGCTAGCACTCTATCACTTGAGCCACAGAGACACTTCTGGCTTCTTTTCCCTGTTTATGTTTTTGTGCTGGGGAATCAAATCCAGGGCTTCATACACGCTAGGTAAGCACTCTAGCACTAAGCTATATTCCCAGCCCATGGGAACGTACTTTTTAAGGGACTCAAAGAGTAACTACTTTTGAAAACAAAAACTTCATGAAATAACGTTATCAAGAACATGAAAATTAAAGAGATTTAAGTTTGAATTCTATCTTTACAGTTCTCTTTGGACCCAACATCTCACCTACAAAATAGGAGTTACATGATCATAAAGATGAGATCTATTGTACAAGTCGTTTTGTCGAAAAACTAACTTTACAGCTTTGGTAGGGGGGCGGTGGGGGGAGGGAGGATACGAAGGGATGGGAAGGGGAAACAGGGCAGGAGGCTACAATGCTTGATAAGAAATGTGCTCATTATCTTACCCATGTAATTGTAACCCCTCTGTACAGTATTTTCACAATATATATATATGTACATATGTGTGTGTGTGTGTGTGTGTGTGTGTGTGTATATATATATATATATGAGATCTATGCAGCCATCCACCCATTCATCATCTGTCATCTTTCTTAGCAATAGTTGTACAAGGGGACGGTCCCACATGACAAGTCCATATATGCATACAATGTACCTTGATCCGCTTCTCTATCCCTCATCACTTCCCCAACTCAATCACAAATAGGCTTCATTGTTCCATTTTTACCATGTACATAATGTATTTACTCTCTTCATTCACCATCCTTCCTCCCGTTAATTAAGACCCACACACCAAACATGTTTTACTTTTCCAGCCTTCATTTTTTTAGTGTATGTTAATTGTTCAAGTGTGTTTTAGCTTGGCATTTCACACATGCATTTTGATACAGCATTTTGATCAGATCAGCCCTCTTTTACTCTATCTTCCCCATTCCCACTACCCTCTTACTATATCACAGCTTTCAGTGAGTTTCATTTTTACTATCTTTATTCACAGATGCAATGTGTTTCTGTATCATTCATTCACCTTCTAACATTTTTCCTTTTGCAAACAATCCCACAGTTACGTGTTTTACACAGACACACACACACACACAGATAGTATACAGAAGATGTGTGTATGCTTATCTTTGGGTCTAACATCCACATATAAGACAAAATAGACATGCATTTATGCATGCAGGACTAGGGTTTGAACTTATGGGCTTGAACTGAAGCCATTCACTCTCATTCCTCCTTTCACAATGTGAATGCTTAATGTTGCATGAATAGACTTCTGTGCATGACATTTTCTTTAGCGCTCACACACTGTTATGATCTGAGTTGTCTTCTCTGAATCCATATGTTGAAACCATAAATCCCAATGAGATTGGGGACAGCTTTGCAGAAAAGTGATTCAGCCTCAATAGCTACTGATCATAATCCTTGCAACTTACGAGGATGAGACTAGGAGAATCATAATTCAAATCCAACCTGAGCAAAAACTGCGAACTAAATGTATGGTAAGTTCTGTTACTCTAGCTAAGAAGCCTAAAGTAAGCATATTGCAGCACAGGTAGGTAGTAAGATCCTACTTCAAAAAAAGACTAGCACAAAAAAAGGACTTCAGAAGTTGGAGGTAGAGTACTAGCCAATGAGCAAAAGCATCAGAAACCAAGTTTGAGTCCTGGTTTGAACCAAAAAAAAGAAAAAAGAATGATAAAAAAGGACTACAGGTAGGGCTCAGTGGTAGAATGCCTGTCTAATATGTCCAAGGCCCTGAGTTCAGTACTGCACCCCTCCAAAAACAAAAACCGAGAGAGAGAGAGAGAGAGAGAGAGAGAGATTTTAAAGGTCCAACAGAATTACGTTATGAAGAGGAAAGATTTCTCTCCATGTATGAAGAGTTCAGGTCAGCTGACAAGAAAGTGGCCACTTACAAGCCAAAAGAATGGGCCTCACATGGGCTGCTCATGACTCATGCTTCTATTCCTAGCTACTCAGGAAGTTGAGAGGATCAAAGTTTGGAGTTGACCCTGACAGACAAATCTGAGAGACATTTATCTTCAATTAACCAGCAAAAAAAGCCAAAAGTAAACACATGGCCCAAGTGTTAGGATGCCAGCCATGAGCTAAGAGAGAGTAAGAGAGAAATAGGCAGGCCCTAAGTTCAAGTGCTAGTACTGGCAAAAGAAAAAGAGAAGAAAAAAAGAACAGGCTTCCAAAGGTAACCTTGACTCTGAGCCTGTAAGAACTGTAAATCTGTTATGTGAGCTATCTACTTTAAAGTTTTGTTATGCAACCCAAACACAATAGTAACATTTTTCTCCTTCAAATAAACAAAGTATCACGATTAAAGGCAAACTGGTAATGTGAGTGTTGAAAAAGCTATAAAAATATCTTAGTTTTCCACTTACATATTAAGTCATGTTTAAATATGGACATTTACCCCGATTAATTTTTCCTATGTCCCTGAGAAATTAAATATTTAAGCTTAATAGTAAACCCCACTGATACAAAGAAATTAAAATATATTCTAGAACTTTCAGATATTAAAAAATATAATAAAACTACTAACTGAACCATTTCTAAAACATGCTTCTTAGCATGTTTTTAAACTTAAATGAATGGTGTAATTAAATGTGTTAGTTTCCAAATCACATTAATTTCCCACATGACACAGTGTAGTATCTGGTACATGACAACAGCTTGGTCATACATTCTCCATGAAGCATTAAACCATTAATCAAACAAATACAAGATGCTCAATCCAAGGAATTTCAAGTAAAAGTATTTTGTTTGTTTTCTTAAGAAAGTTTTGCTAGGTAGGCTGGGCTAGCCTGGAACTTGCTCTGTAGCTAACAATGGCCTTGAACTTACACTCTTCCTCTCCGATTACTAAGTACTAGGATTCATCATGTCCAACGCTCAAATAGAATTGTAAATAATGAATTTTTTTGTATTGGTTCCGGGACTTAAACTCAGGGCCTGGGCACTGTCCCTGACCTTCTTTTGCCCAATGCTAGTGCTCTACCACTGCTTCCAGCTATTTGGTAGTTTATTGGAGAGAAGAGTCTCAGGGGCTTTCCTGCCTGGGCTGCCTTTGAACCATGATCTCCAGATCTCAGCCTCCTGAATAGCTAGGATTACAGGTGTGAACCCCCAGTGCCTGACAATAATGAAACTTTTTGGGGGAAAGGGAGCAGTCCTGGGTCTTGAACTCAGGACCTGGCACTGTCCCTGACCTTTTTTTGCTCAAGGCTAGCATTCTACCACTTGAGCCACAGCTCCACTGCTGGCATTTTAGTAGTTAATTGGAGAAAAATCTCATGGACATTCCTGCTAGATCTGGCTTCCAACAGTAATCCTTATATCTCAGCCTCTTGAATAGCTAGAATTACAGGTGTGAACCATGAGTGCCTGACAATAGTGAAACTTTTAAAATAATCTTTTAAAATTACTATCCTCAGGAAATACAGTTCATTTTATATTTTCTTTTGAAGAAATAATAGACAACATACACCCAAGATGTACTTGCGAGTTTTTGGAATATAGTAACACACAATGTAGTGGAACTTAATTATAATCTGACAATCCCTAAGTATTCAGTTTTCTCATAGAAGAGGCTATTATCTAACAGTCACACATAAAGATTAAGGAAAAATTCTGTGCACTGTAAAAAAAAGGTATAGATGCTTTATTTATAGACAAACAGTTTACTATGTACGATTATGAAGGAAAAAAGAACAAATCTTTAGAAAGGTAGGAACACTAAATTAGAAAGCAAGTGTCTAATGTTACTCCTATTTTTCTACACTAAAGAAAATTGCTTCTTTGATACAAGACAAAGATTATTGCCCTCAAGAGATTAGGAATTGTCTATTTTACAAATTGCAGTAAGTGATATAAATTCTAGTTAACAGCTGGTGTAAAATGAAAAGCTATAAAACCCAATCACTTTTAATTATTATTGTATTTCAATTAGGTCTTTATTAAAACAAAAAACAATCGTTCAGACACTGAAGTACATGATATATACAAAAATATACAAAAGTGAAAGAAAAAAGTACAGTTTGATTACATCAGTATAGCAGTAACATTGATTCTACCCGAAATCCAAATGTTTACATCCAGGATGTTACAGAGGCAACTTCCTTTTGTACCTAAAATAAAAGTAAATCTGTTTAATAACAGGACAATTGGATAGGAGTTCATTTGTGAATTACCTAACAGTGCCAGTATATTAAAATTCTAACCTACTAAGGCTGAATTTGCTGGCATATGCATGTATAATAGCTATGCTTTAGAAAAAAATAGCACTGTACAATGACAGACCTGATAGTATAGAGTAGGTAGTTTCTTGGTATTCACTGCACATAACTGGATATAAAACGTCTATAATGACCTTTTGTAAAAATGCATTTAGTATTACTAGAATGGGAAAGCTTTTAATAGGTAAACAGTCCAAATCTGGTTTCTCCTGCTGTACATAAGTCTAGTCTTGAACAAGTCCTTTCATTTAACCAAATAAATCGGTCAAAATAAGAGAAAAGGACATAAATCTTTGTTCAAAACTCAAAATCCTCAAGATTAATTGTAATATTGCTGTGTTGTTTTTTTGGGAGGGGTCCGGTCGTGGGGCCTGATCTCTGGGCCTGGGCACTGTCCCTCAGCTCTTCAGCTCAAGGCTAGCGCTCTACCACTTGAGCCCCAGCGCCACTTCCGGCTTTTTTCTTTTTGCTTATGTGGTGTTGGGGAATCAAACCCAGGGCCTCAGGCATGCAAGGCAAGCGCTCTACCACTCAGCCACCTTCCCAGCAGAATATTGCTATGTTCTAACTACAATTAATTTTGTGCTCTTTCAATTACTTAAGTCTCTGACTTACACAGCATACAATGTTCTAGATAACAATCTAGACAGCTTGGTTCATTCTAATGGTTAAGATTTAACACTCTCTGTGAGGCACCGAATTAAAAAAAAAAAAAATTAACATTCCCATCTTCCTCTGTAAAGGGTCCCTATCTGTTTGTAATTAGGGAAAGATGGGTCAGAACAGTCCTGCCCCATTTCTGTAGTGCTGGTGATTGAAGCCAGACCTCACCCATGCTAAGCAAGTATGCAGCACTGAACTACATCCTCAGCCCAGAGTTTATTCCATTGTTAAAGGATCATAGATGCCAAGGGCAGCTATGGGAGGGAGAGAGGGAGAGAGAAAAAGGGAACAGATTATACTAAAGAAAAGGAAAAAGATGTACTTATCATGTGATTTGGAAAAAATAGCTGTAGTGTCAAGGTTTGTAGAATCCATAAGCTTTATAGACTTCACAGACTTTATAGCTTTACAGCCTCATGAAGGTTAAAATGTGTTTGTAACTCTAAGTATTACTATCCCACAATAATGTGAAATTTATGTAATAAATCTCAAAAAAATTTAAGGAAGGATTGTAGTTGCAAGTGTTTCATTAACTTCTGTCCCCAGAGAATAACAAGAACAACAAAAAAAATTTACCAATTTTGGTGGGAAGGGCTATATACAGGGTCTCACCATGACCCCTAAGATGGCTTCAAACTCTTTGATTTCTCTGCCTCAGATTCAAAATTGTTGCTTTTCACTTACCTTATTGAGCTCTGGAAAAAGTTCTTGTATCACAATGTCCAACAAAACATAGGTCAGCTATAAAATAAATCAATTAAGGAATTAAACAATAAAAAATAAACACAAAACTCAAGATGGTGGTTATTTCTAATGGGAAGGCAGGGAATGGGGTTGATAATGTAAAATAATCTCAATAATGTTTGTTTCTTAAAATCCATGGTAGGAATATGTGCTTACATGTGGATATTTTATCGTTTTTATCATGTGCCTAACTCTTTCTTAGGTTAAATATTTCATATGTAACAATCTTTTTTGTAATAAAAAGCTTAAAGAAACAAAATATAAAATTGAAACAGTACTAAGATTCTAATAAAGTATACATGAAATATAAACATAAAAATGTTATTCTAAAACAAAGGAGGAGGCTACAATGCTTGATAAGAAATGTACTCATTATCTTGCCCATGTAATTGTAACCCCTCTGTACAGTATTTTCACAATAAAAAAATAAAAATAAAAATAAATGTTATTCTATATAACTTTGAATTGATTTTTAATCTTTATTTCATGAATTTCCTACATATCCCAAATTTTCTACAATTGAGTATATATTAATTTTAACTTAAAAATTTATGTCACCAAGAAAAAAGGTAACCATCAAAAACAAAGAAACACAAATAAAACTTTTTCTCTGAATGTTCAAATTACACTACCCAAAAACATGCACACTAATAATAATATACTGTATCATGCAGCAAACCTAGGCAGCATTAGTCTACTGGTTTTTGTTTTTTTTTTTACCTGTTTATTGAGTACTGGCTGCTGTAGGCCATCAAAGAGAAGTCTGATGCTTTCATACTTGGTTTCTTCACCAATGCACTTGACTATCAGATCTAAACAAGAAAGCCATTATGTGAAACAATTTGTAAGTGACTCATGATCAACTGGATAAAAGACCAAAAGTTCTCCTCTGTTTCCAGCTACCACATAAATCAATATTTTCCAAATCAGTACTTCTGCAAGAGATTCCTGGAATAAAAAGGTTCTTAAGGTTGGTTTATTTATTTATTTTTTGGTGGGTGTGCCAGTCCTGAGGCTTGGACTCAGGGTTTAGGCACTGTCCCTGAGCTTTTCTCCTCAAGGTTAATACTCTACCACTTGAGCCACAGCTCCTCTTCTAGCTTTTTGGGGGTTAATTGGAGATAATAGTCTCATGGACTTTCCTGCCTGGGCTAGCTTCAAACCTCCATCCTCAGATCTCAGTCACCGGAGTACCTAGGATTACATAGGCAAGAGCCACTGGTGCCTAGGTGGATAAAAAGTTTTATAGTCAAGCTGAGAAACAGCAGTGTCCTTTTCCCCCAATATACAGACACTACTGCACACTCTGAGGATGCTATAGCATATAAACCCACAACTACAAAATAATTTTTTAAAGAAAGTATAAAATCACACATACTGTATTATACCATTAGGGTAAAACAAAAAAGATGTCTGCACATTTGTGTATATACATAAAGAAATACATAGAAAAAGATCTGGGAGGATTAAGGCCACACTGGAACACAAGCTATCTTCTACATAGCTCAGAGGACACCTTCCACATTTTTTGTGTGGTGGTCCTAGGCTTGAACTCAGAGCCTGGATGCTGTCCCTGAGCTTCTTTTGCTCAAGGCTAGCATTTTATTCATTGAGCCATAGCTCCACTTCTAGGTGTTTTTTGTTTTTTTGAGTCTGGTCGTGGGGCCTGAACTCTGGGCCTGGGCACTTTCCCTCAGCTCTTCAGCTCAAGGCTAGCGCTCTACCACTTGAGCCACAGCGCCACTTCTGGCTTTTTTCTTTTTGCTTATGGGGTATTGAGGAATCGAACCCAGGGCCTCATGCATGCAAGGCAAGCGCTCTACCACAGAGCCACCTTCCCAGCCCCCACTTTTAGGTTTTTTGGGGTTTTGTTTGGTAATTAATTGGAGATAAGAGTCTCATGGGCTTTCCTATCCAGACTGGCTTCAAACCACAATCCTCAGCTCTCAGCCTCCTGAGTAGCTAGGATTAGAAGCATGAGCCACAGATACTTGACCATTCTTCCACTTTTTATTCTACATGTTTTCAGTGTTGCTTTTTTTTTTAATTAAATGATATTTACAGGAAAGAGGACTTCTGTTGAAAGGGGACCAGCTGAGAGGGTAGTCAGAGCCCCAGGTAGAATAAGCTCTCCCTATCCTCACTAGACACTACATTGCAAATGTATATACCAGCTATACCAGCTTGTTGGGAGGGCAAGAGGACAAAACTGAGATTGAGGGAAGGGGTGACACTGTCCAAAAAGAAATCCACTCCATTACCCAAGTTATTTTCTGTGCTCTTGATATCAAATAAAAGTTTATTTAAATGTTAAGGTAGACTTATCTCAATGAATATGGCTATATTTTTGTACTTTTTGCATACATTACTACTAATCACCAATCAATCACTTTGGAAAATGCTATAAATGTTTAAGCACTGTTTACACACATGCAACAAGCTGTTAGTTCACCTGTTATTCTCTATGAAGTGCTTTTTTAATGTCAGGTACATAATATATTCTGAGTTAATTTTAGTGAATGTTGTTTATTTATTTGGTCTGTGGATGTTAGTTGTTTGAGCATCATTTCTCCATTGCATTACTTTTGCTTCAATTGACAATATTTCTGTGGGTCTACCTCTGGCCTCTATTTAGTTTCCTCAGTCTGTTTGCCTACATCACAGTCCCTTGACTACTCCAGATTTATAGAATGTCTTGTAGTAAAGAAGTGTCAACCCTCATTATTTGTTATTTTCTTTCAGTACTAAGGTAGCAATTCTGGGTCTTTTCCTCCCCATTATAAACTTTGTTTGTCAATATCTATAAAGGATTTGTACTGGGATTGTATTCAATCTGTAACTCAAGAAGAACTGACATCTTGACAGTTCTGAAGTCTTCCTACCTATGAACCTGTAATCTCTCAATTTATTTAGCTCTCTGATTGTTTTCATCAGAGTTCTGTGGTTTTCTTCATATACATTTTGTGCATATTTTGTTAGAGTTATACCTAAGCCATTTATTTTTGGAGGCATTAATGTAAATAATACCTTTTTTAATGTTAAATCTCAATGAGTAAGGAAAATAAAACTGTCAAGTAAAGATTATAGTTTTATTTGCAAAATATTCTACTAATATGTCCCCTTCCTTTAACACTATTAACATATTTTTGTTGTACAAAGAGGTGTTATTGTGACATTTCCATATATTCATACCTATCAAACTTCCTCCATCACTCTACCTTCCTAAAACAATTTTCAACAGGTTTCATTGTTTTCTTTTCTTTTTGGCCAGTCTTAGGGCTTGAACTCAGAACTTCGGCACTGTCCCTGAGCTTCTTTTTGCTCAAGACTAACACTCTATCACTTGAGTCACAGCACCACTTCTGGCTTTTTCTGTTTATGTGGTACTGAGGAATCCAATGCAGGGCTTCATGCAGGCTAGGCAAGTACTCCACCACTAAGCCACATTCCCAGCACCATTGTTTTATTTTCAGACATGCATATAAGATATCCACCCTCATTTATCCTCTCCATTTTCCCAACTGCCTCCTACTTGTACCTGTCCCCCAACAGACCCTATTTTACTTGGATGGATAACTTTTTTTTTTTTGGGTCTGGTCGTGGGGTCTGAACTCAGGGCCTGAGCACTGTCCCTCAGCTCTTCAGCTCAAGGCTAGCACTCTACCACTTGAGCCACAGTGTCACTTCCGGCTTTTTTCTTTTTGCTTATGTGGTGCTAAGGAATCAAACCCAGGGCCTCATGCATGCAAGGCAAGCACTCTACCACTGAGCCACCTTCCCAGCCCCTTGGATGGATAACTTTTTAGTTACAGTTCAGGTTTCCCTGGCTAAGCCCTGGTTCCAACAGAGATATGAGTTCCTGTTTTGCAAAAACAGCTATGGTTCTCTAAATTTACCCATTGGTCTCTCCTTTGAGGGCAGTGATTTGTGCTGTCACCCTATCTTGCTAATGGATCTAAGAACTGCTGGTTTTTCAGTTTTTTCAGCTTCTTTACTTACAACTAGTGCAGAGGAGCAACTTCAGCTTACATGAAGATATAAGCTGAAGTTTGGCTTCCAGCCAAAGTCATCCTCTTCTCCTTTTACTCTGTATTTTCTCCCTGTTCAGTAAGACTCTCATACTGCTACCCATCTACCTTGTACTATCACCTATACTTCCACTTTTTATTTTTTGGTCGGTCATGGGGCTTGAATTCTGGGCCTGGATGCTGTCCCTCAGCTCTTCAGCTCAAGGCAAGCATTCTACTGCTTGAGCCACAGCGCCACTTTCGGTTTTCTAGTGATTTATTGGAGATAAGAGTCTCACAGAGTTTCCTGCCTTGGCTGGCTTTGAACCATGATCCTCAGATCTCAGCCTTCTGAGTAGCTACCCAGTCTATACTTCCACTTCTAAAATAAGGTATTTAATTGCTTTACTGGACACGCGCACCTGGATAATTACAGACACTTCACATTTAAAATGTCCTAAACTTCAAAGTTCTGGGGGTCGGGATGTTTTAAACTAGTAAGTGCTCTGCTTGATCACCTGACATTTTTCCCTTTATTTCCCATCACAGTAAGAGCTTACTGTCATTCATTTACTTAATGGCAAAAACTTACCAATTTTACAAGAGAGATGACCTTCTTTCCCTTAATGCCTCTATAACTTAAACATTACTGCAACGATACAAGTATGTTTTGTCTAAATGTTTGTCTTCCTACCAGATTGAGTTATTAAAGTCTACTTTTTATATCCTTTGCAATCTGCACAGAATCTGGAACATGAATGGCACTCCATAAATTTGAAAAGGATGAATGAGCTCTGATTTCTTTTTCAGGGGAGGGGGGGATTCAGTCATGGGACATGAACTCAGGGCCTAGACATTAACTCTTTTGCCAAGGCTAGCACTGTACCACTCTGAGCCACAACACCACTGCCAGTTTTCTGGTGGTTATGAAGATAAGAATCTCACAAACTTTCATGCTGGGGCTGGCTTTGAAATACAATCCTTAGATCTCAGCCCCCTGAGTAGCTAGGATTACAGGATTACAGTGCCTGGGCCTGATTACTTAATCATATATACTAGCATACCTAGCATACTCATGTTGTTGTGAGCAGCAGGCATTGTCCCACAATGCATCACTTTAATCAGCTCAATTATATAAGTTAAGTTTGAAAGAATCTGGTTAGAAATGTAGCTCAGTGGTAGTGACATATACAAGGCCTTGGAATAAATCCTAACACCATTAAAAAGAAAAGAGGCCAGACATTGGTCACAACTGTAATTCTAGCTACTCAGAGGAGGCTGAGGTGTAAGAATCATAGTTCAAAGCTAGCCTGAGCAGTAAAGTTCATGAGACTCTTAACTCCAATCAAGCACCAAAAAAGCCAAAAGTAGAGCTGTGGCTCAAGTAGTAGAGTGCTAGCCTTGAGCAAATAAGCTCAAGTTCAAGCTCCAGAATTGGCACACTGACACACATACACATACACACATACAGAAGAGAAAAAAGGGAAAGAGAAAGTAAGAATATGGCTTGCTAATATTTGAGAACCAGCTTAGTCTTAAATTTTTAGTGATGACACTAGAAAAACAAACTAACTTGTGAGTTAATTTTGTCTTTATAACTATTTCTAAAATGAGAGCCCAGAGTAAACATTAGCTTTAATAATTACTGTACAATGAAACCTCAAATGAGTGCTAATCTATATAAAATTAGGCTACAATACCTGGAATGTAATTCATCATTTCTTCAAAAGTCTGTTTTGCACCTTTTTGCTTATCTTGGGGAGAGCGAGGTTCAGTATTTTCACAGAATATAGCATCTAGAATAAGAGTAGAAAAAATATTTCTGTAAGGATATAGGTTGACCCATTGTTACATTGAGACGTACAAGGCACTATGTTGAAAACAAACTTTACAACTTGGTGGGGGCGGGGGGGGGAAGGAGAAGATGGGGAGGTGGGTAGGGAAAAGATGGTAGGGCAAAAACAAAGGAGGAGGTAACAACGTTCCATATAACTGTAACCCCTCTGTAACTCATGTAACTAACCCCTCTGTACAGCATTTTCACAATAAAAAATATACCAAAAAAAGAAAAAAAGAAAAATATTTATGAAGTCTTCATCTATTCATACAAAATACTCCTTCAACAGTAGAAATACTAATAAACAAAAGGCAAACAAGACTCCATGTTCTTTTAGATTCAACTGAAATCATTGAGTATATACAATATGAAACAAAGACATGATAAAATACAAACCTCTGAGAAGTGTTATGAGTGAAACTAAACGGTGCTCTTGAAATAGCTGCTCTAGTTTACACTGAAGATAGTAGTCAGTGTACATTTCCAGGGTGTTTTTAAAGAGGATTCGAGTTCCCATTAGAAGATGATGAAGCCAGTCAGGAACTTGGAAAACTACCCGTCCTGAGAAGAATCAATTGGAATATCTTTTACTTATGAGACAGCTACTCTGAACATTTTTTTCTTTCTCTCTCTCTCTCTTTTTTTTTGTTGCCAGGCCTGAGGCTTGAACTCTGGATCTGGGTGCTGTCCTTGAGCTCCTTTTGGTCAAGGTTAGCACTCTACCACTTGAGCCACAGTGCCACTTCCCGCTTTGTCTGCAATTTAATTGGAGATAAGAGTCACAGACTTTCCTGGCCAGGCTGGCTTTTAACTGCAATCCTCAGATCTCAGCCTCCAGAACAGCTAAGATTAAAATGATTACAGTCACCAGCTACACCATGGCTTGATTACATTTTTTTTTGGTCAGTCATGGGACTTGAACTCAGGGCCTGGGCACTACCCCTCAGCTTTTATGCTCACATCTAGCATTATATTATTTAATCATAGCTCCACTTCCAGCTTTTTGGCAGTTATTGGGGATAAAGAGTCTCATGGACTTCCCTGCCCACATTGGCTTTGAACCGTGATCCTCAGATCTCAATCTCTTGAGCAGCTAGGATTATAGGCATTAGCCACCAGCACCTAGCTGAACATTTTTCAGTATAGAAAACACAAGTAACAATGGCCAGTCTTTTATTTGTAAACAATAACTTTAGTATGTACAAAATTGATATTAAATTTTTATTAAAGAAATATCTTCAGTAAAAGTTCAATAAGGAAATATTTTAAAGCATTAATTTACATCATGTAAAAAATTAGGGGAGGGGCTGCGAAGGTGGCTCAGTGGTAGAGCGCTTGCCTTGCATGCCTGAGGCCCTGGGTTCGATTCTTCAGCACCACATAAGCAAAAAGAAAAAAGCCGGAAGTGGCGCTGTGGCTCAAGTGGTAGAGTGCTAGCCTTGAGCTGAAGAGCTGAGGGACAGCGCCCAGGCCCAGAGTTCAGGCCCCACAACCAGACCCAAAAAAAAAAAAATTAGGGGAATGACAAATTTTAACATAAACTACTTATATCTTACCTACATACATCAGATAATCATAGACTCCTTCTATAGTCATCACCTCCATAAAATAGTTCTGATTTTGCTTCCTCTCTGTGTTCTCAGCACGGTTTGCATTATTCTTAAACAGGTCATTGAAAAGCTGAAGTTGAAATAGTAAGAGATATATTGCTTAACATACTTTCTGATGATCATCACTAAGGCTCTAGTAACATAGAGCAAAAGAAGTTCAAACTTTTTCCAATTAAAACAGAGAATTAGAGTACACGTTGTCATGTCGAAAACGAACTTTCCAACTTTGGTGGGTGGGGGATTGGGTGGGGGGGGCGGGAGGAGGCTGGGAAGGGATGGGAAGGGGAAACAAAGGAGGAGGCTACAATACTTGATAAGAAATGTACTCATTATCTTGCCCATGTAATTGTAACCCCTCTGTACAGTATTTTCACAATAGAAAAAAAACCCAGAGAATTAGAATATGTTAAGATCTACTTTGAAGATACACTTTTTTATGAGCAAATTACATTTTATTTTTTTCACAGTATACAAAATGAAAAAAAATTCTTTAATTTCATTAAATATTCATCTTCCTCTCTAAATCATTCATATTCCTCTCTAAACACGAGAATAAATCCTATATAGAAACTATGGTTTCTACTTAGAATTTGCATCATGTATTATTTTTTTTATTGTGAAAATACTGTACAGAGGGGTTACAATTACATGGGTGAAGATCCAGTTTTATGTTCAAAATTATGTAACATGTATATTCCTCTCAAATGATCACATAAAAGTTTACATTTAACTTTAGATACAACAGCTAATGCATTAACCATTAAAAAAATTCCTCTCTTTTTTTTTTTGGTAGTGTTAGGGACTGAACCAAGGCAAGTATTCGACAACTGAACTATACCCCTAATCTCCTTCTTTTTTGTTGATTTTTCAAAGAAATTGAGATAAAAGTTTCATAGTCCAATTTTCTGTGTCTGGAATATTTAAAACTAGAAAAACTATTCCTAATCAAATAAAAAAGTTTCACTATGTGTCTAAGATGGCCTCAAACTCTTAATCCTTCTGCCTCAGACTCCTCACTACTGGAGTTACAAGCATGCCACCATGCCCAGCTTCCTTCCTTTGTTTCTATATGCCCAAAGAAGCCAATTAACTTATAACAACATGTAAATTCAAACAATTCAAACACCTAATAGATATAGGTCAAGAAATAAAGATGTAAAGTAGGCACTAAAAAAAGAAATAAAGTGTTACAAAGTCTATTATAGCACTGCTGGTGGCTCATGCCTATAATCTCAGGAAGCTGAGATCTGAGGTTCTTGGTTTGAAGCCAGCCCAGGCAGGAAAGTCTGTGAGACTCCTATCTCCAATTAATCACCAGAGTGGAGCTGCGGCTCAAAGTGGTAGAGCACTAGCCTGGAGCACAAAGAGGCTAGGGACAGCACCTAAGCTCAGAGTTCAAGCCTTATAACTGACCAAAAACAAACAAACAAGCCTTAGTATAGAAGTTTCATGACGACAGAGACAATACCTACTACGGGCTCTCCTTTCAATTATTATCCATTCAAGCAGCTGTAAAAGAGGGTTCAATTTTACAGGTCCATTTATGTGTACAATGTATGTCGATCACTTCTGCCCCTTCATCATTCTCCTCTGCTTACCCAACTCTTCCCCCACCAGCCTCATCAAATTTCCTAGCTCTATTTTCATGTATATACATTGAACATTATGCTTGTATTCATTTCACTTTCCCTCTCTCCATTCATTTTTCCCCTCCCATAACCCTTATCCTCTCAAGACATGCTTCAGCTACCTAATATTCTTTTTTTAAGCAGCCTGTTAATTGTTCAAAGGATTTATACAATGGGAACTCACTCCTACATATACTTAGGTAAGTGCTCTATTACTGGAGCCATGTCCTCAGTCCTCTATTGGCTCTTAGGTTGGGTAATCTTTTTTTTTTTTTTTTTTTGCCGGTTGTGGGGCTTGAACTCTGGGCCTGGACACTATCCCTCAGCTCTTCAGCTCAAGGCAAGCACTCAACCACTTGATCCATAGCACCACTTCCAGTTTTCTGGTAGTTTACTGGAGATAAGAGTTTCACAGCTTTTCCTGCCTGGGCTGGCTTTGAACCATGATCCTCAGATCTCAGCCTCCTGCATAGCTAGGATTACAGGCATGAGCCACTGGTGCCCAGCTGGTATTCTTATTCTTAGAAGCATAAGGTCAAAACATTTTCCCCAATCCAAGAAATATGAAAAGGGCTCTTCCTCCTAATCTACTCTCTCTCCTCTTTCATGTTTTTAAGTTCAATTTTTCATTAAAAAATGCTAATAATGGGGCTGGGAAGGTGGCTCAGTGGTAGAGCGCTTGCCTTGCATGCAAGAGGCCCTGGGTTCAATTCCTCAGAACCACATAAGCAAAAAGAAAAAAGCCAGAAGTGGTGCTGTGGCTCAAGTGGTAGAGTGCTAGCCTTGAGCTGAAGAGCTGAGGAACAGCACCCAGGCCCAGAGTGCAGGAGGCCCCACGACCGGACCCCAAAAAAAAAAAAAAAGAAAATGCTAATAATACAGTAAATCTGAAAAGACAGGGAGACCTATCTAAAACCATAACTATTACACTTATGGGCACTCCCTTATAGTTCTATGTACACTACCCATATATATGTGTGCTATGTGGTGTGTGTGTGTGTATGCTGCTTCAATCAACAAGGTTTAAAAAATAGCATTTACTATTTTTTTTACTTAGTAGCATATTAAGGATTTTATGTTGCTTTATAGTTCGTGTGAGTATAATTTATCTGCTGCAAAATACTCTTGAATAGATAATACTTGTTTTCTCTCTCTCTCTTTTTTTTTTGTTGTTGGTTGTGGGCTTGAACTCAGGGCCTGGGAGCTGTCCATGGGCCTCTTTGTACTCAGGTAGCTAGCGCTCTACCACTTGAGCCACAGCCAGACTTGCAGTTTTTGAGTGATTTATTGGTGATCAGAGTCTTACAGGGACTTTTATGCCTGAGCTGGCTTCGAACAGCAACCCTCAGATCTTAGCCTCCTGAGTAGCTAGGATTTCAGGCATGAGCCACCGGCACCCATCTGTAGATATTCCTTAACATAAGCATTCCTGCAAAGTTAAGGGTTAATGCTGTTTCCTTTTTTTATTCCAAAAGCAATACTTTAATACATGTAATACATGTCTTCACATATTATCATTACCACTTCTTCTACTATATTATTTTCTTCCCATAAACTGCTAGCATTTGGACAAGGTCAAAGACCATAAACATCTAGAGATTTTTTTAATTTTGTTTCATTTCTTTTTCTGCCAGTCCTGGGATTTGAACACAGGGCTTGGGTGCTCTCCCTGAGCCTCTTTGTGCTCAAGGCTAGCACTTTACCACTTGAACCACAGTGCCACTCTGTCTCTCTGTCTCTTTCTCTCTCTTTTTTTTTTTTTGAGTTTATTGGAGATAATAGGGACTTCTCTGTCAGGGCTGGCTCCAAACCAAGATCCTCAGATATCAGCCTCCTAAGAAGCTATGATTACAGGCATGCGCCACTGGTACTCAGCTTGATAGTACCAAATTCTTTTCCCCAAAGTTTGGGCTCATTTTTAAGCTACTAGCAAAGTACATTTCTAACTTAAGCAAACTTCCATCAACTTCTTTGCAGATATATCCTTTATATATTAAAACTCACATTCCCGTATAATTACTCTTTCTTTCTATAATCCTATACATTAGATCTCTAATATTCCATCACTCACAAAGGTATGTGTATATACTAAAGACCACTCCAAAATAACTAAAATTCTCACATCTTTTCAATCATTCTCCCCTCACTCCCCCAATGTTGGAGTTGAACCCAGGCTCTCAAACATCCTAGGCAAATATTCTACCACTGAGCTATATCACCAGCTCTTCAAGCAGTTTTGAGTATAAACATCAAGATATATTCATACCCATCCTGAAAGAAAGGACAAGTATAACTAAGACATGTGAGTGGACTTGTGTCTATTTCTGGTCAGAGAGAGCTATTAATGAGGAGGTTTTGAAGACTTACTCTAAGAATCACTTAGGGTGATGCTTGAACTATGCCCATATTTCAATGTCTTCTCTTGATCATTTTTTACTCTATGAGCTTTAATGATGGAATTTTTGTGCTAAGGAAATGTAAAAGAATTACTAAAGAAAACAAAATGGTATATTAAGATAGACAAAGAATAATCCACAAACTGGGCTGGGAAGGTGGCTCAGTGGTAGAGCCTTGCATGCCTGAGGCCCTGGGTTCGATTCCTCAGCACCATAAGCAAAAAAAAAAAAAAGCCGGAAGTGGCGCTGTGGCTCAAGTGGTAGAGCACTAGCCTAGAGCTGAAGAGCTGAGGGATAGCGAGCGCCCAGGCTCAGAGTTCAGGCCCCACGACCGGACCCAAAAAAAAAAAAAAAAGAATAATCCACAAACTTGTCATGGTCCAAAAACATCTTACAATATATATTCTTCAATGTATTCACTGTGTTCATTCAGTACCTGTTAAACATGAACTTTTATTACCAAGCAGGGTTTCATAATACAACAGATCAGACCCAATTACTGTTTTGCCTGAAAGTGTTTTCAGACAACAGTAAACCATTACTAAAAAAAAAAAATAGACTCAGGGGAAAAATTTTAATTCTAAAAATAAGCAATAAAATTTTTGCAAAAGTCTAGATAGGTTTAAACAGCTAATCAGTTACTATTAAACAGAACTAGAGAGAGATCAGGGGAAAAAAAAGATGTGTCAAGGAAGTATCAAAAAAGATGTATCATAAAAGATGTATCAAGAAAAAAGAGACAGGAAAAGTTGGGGGAAAGGATGAAAGATATGGGAAACAGAATAAGAATCAGTGTTCTAGAACAAGATGAGAGAGAACAAGATCTACATAGATAAAAGGAAAATTTTATACAAAATTGATAAGAGAATTAGGAAGGCAGATTGGTAAAGGGACAGACCAATGACTTGTCCCTCTTAGCCATGTTCTCATAAAACTTCCACTCATATCAATTCTGGACTTGGCTACATGATTTAATAACTCTTTAGCACTGCATGCAGTACCTTTTTGTTGTTTTCTGAAGTAGGACTGAGAATGGTCAGTTCTGGTCTACTTGGTTTAGGCTTTGGAGATTCACAGGAATTAATGAAATTCATGATGAAAGGTTCCAAATGTTGACCTTTCTGTAGTGACAGATGATTGTAAAAAAAAAATCAATTATTATGACTTCCAGTATAATATAAATTTATCATTTAAATTTATCAATATTTACATATGCTATTACTATCATGCTATAAATATACACAAATTATTCACCTCTTTCATTAGTTTTCCGGGAACAGACTTTATAATTTTCCCTGCAATCAAAAGTAAAGTATTAATTTTAAGAAGGTGTAATATACTTAAGAGTTGCTTATATAAGTATTTCACTAGGTATTTCCAAATAGTAAATAGTCAAGTAAAAATTGAAATGTAAATAGTCAAGTAAAAATTGAAATAATCTAAAATTTTTGTAGTTGACCATTTCACACTCAACAGAAATTACAATCAATGGGGTACTACTCTGAACTATTTATAGGGACACTTGGGATTTACTTAATCTGATGAGGTTAAAGGTTGACAGGAGGGAAGTAACAAAAATAATGTTAAAACTGTGGAAATACAGTTGCCTCTATTTTTGTGAATACTTCAAATTTCCATAAAAGTGTTTTCAAATATTTTAAATTGATGAATATATAATAATGAAAAGGTATTACTAAAATATTAAGACAAAAATTTTTCAAGTCATAAGAAACATTTAAACTACGTGAATGATTTATATTCATGAATTTGAGATTAAGATTCCTATTGTAGCCATGCATTGTGCCACTCTTGTAATCTCAGCATTTGGGAGGCTGAGGTAGAAAGATAGACAGCTCAGCCTGGACTATAAAGTGAAACCCAATTTTGAAAAAAATTATTATTTTAGTCTAATCATATTTGGTCAAATAAATTACTTCGTGATCTTAGGTTCCATATCATAAAGTATTAAGCATTTTAAGATTTTCTGAAACACTTAGAAATGGCACAAAAAGTTAATCAAAATTGACAGATCCAACTTCAATTTCTTTCTGCTTAATCTATACAAGAGTAGATGTGGCAACAATATGCTATATGAATAATAATAGGATTTTTTAGACATATAAACTACCTAGTCCTCTCATCTATTCCTGATTCTCATTCCGAATAATACATCCATCCCCTCAAAATCTTTCCAACTTTCTTAAGTTATAGATTTTATTTCTGTTTTCTGCATGTTATTACTTACTATGATATCAAATAAGATTAAAATCTCTAGGAAGCTTGTGTGCTATCTTTTCTTGCCCTATAAAACTTATTTAATTGTTTAACAGAAACTCAGTTCAAAATTTCTCTAAATTTACCCTCTATCCCAGCAAGTAGCAGCAGTAATTACGGTGCATAGATAATCTTTTAAATTTTTTCACTTTCAGTTAAACCTAATCAGCAACCAGGTCTACCCAATTCTATTTCCTAAATGCTATATATAACTAAGCATAAAATATTGTCACAAGTTTCCCTAAAAAGACTATATACAGCAAATACTTTGGATCAATAAATGTTGATCCAGTGTTGGGAGATTAAATGAAAACTAAACACCCACTTACATTACATTTCTTAATCCATTGGTTTAGTTCCACATAAACACTTAAGAGTCTATCAACTAAGTATGTGGAGAAATACTGCTTTTACCTTAATTTTAACAATTTTATTCCAGCTTCTCCATTTGGTACCTTAATTCTTTCATTCATTTTATATTTTCTTTTGTGTGTGCATGCACACATGAGCATGCCTGTCCTGGGGCTTGAACTCAGATCCTGGGCACTGTTCCTGAGCTTTAATGCTCATATCTAGAGCTTTATCACTCGAGTCACAGTTCCACTTTTGGCTTTTTGGAGGATAGGCGATAAGAGTCTTACAGACTGTCCAGCACAGTTTGGTTTTGAACCATCATCTTCAGATCTCAGCCTACAGAGTAGCTAGGATTACAGGTATGAAGCAGTGGTGCCTACTTTCTCCTTTTTTGCATGCAGCTTTGTTTATATGACTGATATTTAAAATTCATAAAGGCTAAAAACTATTGGTTAATTTAACTTTGTGTGACAGAATATTTATTTAGAAGTTATTAGAAGCACAAAATAAGACAGCTTAAAGTAAAAATAAAGTCCTTGCAATTCATCAAATAGCCATACCACATAAAATATTTTTCTAAACTAATCTGAAAATGGTGACTATTTTTAGATTATTCTCTTACATATGTTTTTTCACTTGACTTACCAAGATTTACATCTGGTAGTATCTTATCAAGAAACTGTGTTTCTCCACCATTGGGAGAGAGAAAGTCTGCTAGAAGTTGACTATTACTCAGTTCTGGATGCTGTAGAAGTTTCTTTAAAAAAAAAAAAAAGTTTGCAAATTCAGACAGGTAAGCAAAACTGTTTAGAAGTAACTTTTTGTTTTGTTTTTGTGTGGGTCTTAGGGCTTGAACTCTAGGGCTTGTGCTCTACCACTTGAGCCACAGTTCTACTTTCCAACTTTTGGTAGTTTTATGAGAGATAGGAGTCTCAGAAACTTTCCTGCTCAGGCTGGCTTCTTACTGCCATCCTGAATAACAGGCATGAGTCCTCAGTGCCCGGCTGTATTGAAGTAACTTTAGTAACCTTAAATAAACAAAACACAAGTTTTAAATCACCCAAAGTAATCAACCTATTTTATGCTTCACATCATGGGATGACAGACACACACATCATCATGCCTAGCTTCTTTCATTGAGAGAGAATCTCATGGATTTCTGCCTAGAATGGCACAGAATCTTGATCCTACCAATCTCAGTCTCTCACGTAGATGGATGATAGGCTTATGTAACTGCCCAGCTATTGGCTGAAAGGGGTCTTGTGTATATGCTCAGGCCATTCAGTCTCAAGCCACAATTCCCTAATCTCAGCCTCACAAAAGCTAGTATTATAGCATGAGCCTGGCACCCAGCTATTATTGAAAATTTTTCCATTTTAAAAAGTAATTGTTATGGGCTGGGAATGGGGCTTAGTGGTAGAGTGCTTGCCTAGCATTCATAAAGCTTGGGTTCAATTCCTCAGTACCACATAAACAGAAAAAGCCGGAAGTGGCTCTGTGACTCAAGTGGTAGCGGGCTAGCCTTGAGCAAAAATAAGCTTAGAGACAGTGCCCTGAGTTCAAGCCCCAGAACTGGCCAAAAGAAAAAAGTAATTGTTCTGAGTGTGCTGTGGCTCAAAGTTATAGAGCATTAGCCCTGAGTTCTAGCCTCAGAACCATTCTAAAATCTACAAAATTGAAAGTGTAACAAAAATTAAACTTTACAAGAACAGGTACTTAGAGAGCAAAGCATGTATGTACAAAAGGACAAATCATAGAATACAGTTAGCAATATTTGGAGAGGGCTGGGCTAAAAAGGAGATGAAAGATTAATATGAAGTAAATGATTTGCATGTAGAAAAACAGAACAATGAAACTTGCTGTAATGTTTCAGGAAGTGGGGAAGGGAAAATGATCAGAGGGGACAAGATGATTGGAATACATTGTACACATTAGTGGAAATATCACAAAGAAATGTACCCTGTATAACTATGTATGCTAATAAAAAAGGAGACTAATTATACACTTGGTGCCATACCTGTAGATATTCCTGAAACTCTTCTCTCTTTGACTTTAAGAATTCATAATTTTTAGGTCCAATAATCCTCTTGGAGGGAAGCTGGGCATCAGGAAATGTGCCTGTAATTTATACATATTAAAATTCTTACTATGCTCTGAAGCTATTTTAAAAACTAAGCTTATTTAGTTTTTTAAAATTAGAATTTAATACGGCAAATTCTGATTTAGACCCCTGCCTTGTAGAGGTATGTTGGAAATGAATTGAAAATATAAGGAAAATGAAGCTTTACAAGAACAGGTACTTATACTTTGAGGGGAGGGAAGTAGGAAGAGATAAGTGGGAGAAAATGGGGATGGAGTAATTGTAACCCCCCTGTTCATCACCTTTACAATAAAGATATTAAAGTAAGTAAGTGTCACAAAAATCCAGAACAAAAACTTTGGGAAATAAGTGAGATTCTATTAAACACAACTTCATAAAAGAAATACTTATTCTATTATGGAGAAAACTGTATTTTGTTAATACATAAGTTTAAAATCCACAAGAGTACTTTCTCTAAGAGGGTCGACTGGAAATTTTAGTAACAGAGACAATAATGTTGGAAATACAACATTGTAAGTAGCTTTTGTAAGTCCACAAGTTAAAAAAAAATATGGAGGTAACTTATCTTTCTCAATTTTAAGAAAGAGGAAGTGGCGCTGTGGCTCAAGCAGTAGAGCACTCGCCTTGAGCTGAAGAGCTGAGGGACAGTGCCCAAGCCCAGAGTTCAAGCCCCATGACTGACAAAAGAAATAAATTAAAACAAAAAAGAAAGAGAAGTCCTCAGAGGAAACAAACAAAACAAGAATGGTATTTCCCCAGCCAGAAAAGCAGAAAATGAAAACTATTTGGAGACAAGTTTGGAGACAAACTCCAGATCAAAATCTTTAGAGTGGAACTAGGTAATCTTTATCTTCCTATAATAATAACCTAACCGTGTACTTTGCTCATACAGTAGGTATAGAAAGTTCTTGTACTTCATTGAGAATCAATTTGAATTTGGATCAAGAGACACTCTACAAAACAAAAAGATTCTAAAACAAAAAGATTGAGAAAACAATACTCACCAACTCATGCAGAAAATGTCTAGAAATACTCATAATTATTCCTCTTATATTAATTAAAATAATTACTAATATAGGAAGAACTGAAAAAAAAACCTCTCTTTTTCCAAAGAAAATCTACCCTCAAAAGAAACACTCAACAGCAAGCTTTGTTTCCTTATCTTGAGAGATAAATCAGAACATATGCCATAATACACAGCAAATACATGTTTACCAACAAAGATGGTGGCAGAACAAGATAATTCTTAAATGCCTAGTTTAAATTCTTTGCCACCTCAAGATAAACAAGAAATAAAACTGAATAGAGATAAATGTAGTTGTTCATAAGTTCGGAAAGTTTTAACTTGTTGTAAAGTTTACTTGTTGAGCTGAGCACTGATGGTTCACACCTGTAATCCTAGCTACTCAGGAGGCTGAGATCTGAGCATCACAGTTCAAAACCAGCCCGGGCAGAAATGTCTATGATCTCCAATTAACCACCAGAAAACCAGAAGTAGAACTGTGGCTCAAAGTGGTAGAACACCACCCTTGAGCAAAAGAGATCAGGGACAGTGCCCAAGCCTTGAGTTCAAGCCACACAACCAACCAAAAAAAAAAAAAATTGAATAGAGTATGTCTTCAGAAATATAAAGAACAGTTGCCTCTTACATTTTAATTTTATTAAAAGAGTAATGTGTTGCACAGGTTGGGAACCCTTTTTCTGTCAAGGGCCATTTAGATATTTATAATATCACTTAAAGGCCATAAAAAAAATCACTATAGGTAGAGGAGCCAAGGGACTCAGTGGCAGCTGACAAGAAGCATATGTGTCTGTCCTGTCGTGTACTAAATGATTTCACTGGCCTTATATGGCCTATGGACCAGATGCTCTCCACTCCTGGATTGCACTTTAAATATACAGATACGCAAAGGTTAAAAGCTAAAACTAGTGTATCCCTAGTATAAAAAGAATATATATAATTTCTGTTACATATCTTTACAATTACTTAAAGATTAACCTAGTACAACAGCTTTCAAGAATGCTAATGCTGAATGGTAATTTTTTTTTTTTTTTGTCCGGTTGTGGGGCCTAAACTCTGGGCCTGGGCGCTGTCCATCAGCTCTTTAGCTCAAGACTAGTGCTCTACCACTTGAGCCACAGCACCACTTCCAGCTTTTTTCTTTTTGCTTA